AAAGAAGTTATTTGGCAAAGGGATGCATGTTGCCAAAATGTTAGTCACAGCTTTAAGGGCCCAGTTTGTGTCTCTACAACTATTCTTTGCTTTGACACAGTCCATTCTCTGACCGAGGAAACAGCTCAGCTTCTGTCACCCTCCCCATCTGAAGCAGTGAAGAATCCTTTCAATTTGGCAGTATCAAACTGTGACACAGACAAGATGTCTACCAGAGACTGAAAGGGGAGAAAAAATATGTAATTTGTCATTTTCCACACAGGACTGGCTCAAGCAGAGCAATGGAAAACTGTGACAGGATAGGAAAAATGGGAACTCATTACGTTACTGTAATCCCAGTTACTCGGGAGGCTGAGGCAGGAGGACTGCTTGAACCCAGGAGGCAGAGGTTGCGGTGAGTCGAGATTGTGCCACTGCACTCCAGCCTGGGCAACAAGAGAAAAAGTGTCTCCAAAAAAAAAAAAAAAAACCAAAAAGGTACACTGTAGGTTGAAATAGCATAATATTAAGCAGGTTTTTACCCTGAAGCTGCCTAAACCAAGAGCCATGAATTCTGCTGTTATTTCAGAGCAGGAAAACAGACTAAAGCATACCAGGTCACTCTCCCAATCAGAGAGCCCAAGTAAAGAAAAGAACATTTAATAATTTTCTTTTTTTTTTTTTTTTTTTTTTGAGACGGAGTCTCGCTGTGTCTCCCAGGCTGGAGTGCAGTGGTGTGAACTCGGCTCACTGCAAGCTCTGCCTCCCGGGTTCACGCCATTCTCCCGCCTCAGCCTCCCAAGTAGCTGAGACTACAGGCGCCCGCCACCACGCCCGGCTAGTTTTTTTTGTATTTTTAGTAGAGACGGGGTTTCACCATGTTAGCCAGGATAGTCTCGATCTCCTGACCTCGTGATCCACCCGCCTCGGCCTCCCAAAGTGCTGGGATTACAGGCTTGAGCCACCGCGCCCGGCCCAATAATTTTCTCTTCAACAGAACAAGACTTCTGTCTCTGGCCTTTTTTTTTTTTTTTTTTCTAAAAACACCTAGTGAGTCTAGAGTCTCTTCCCTTCGTAAAAGCCATCAGTAAAATCTGAAAACTCCCATGTTCACACCTCCCCTGCATTTCACCTTGGTGCTATCACATAACTTATCAGTACCAGCTAGGGTAAACACTACTCTAGTATCAAGTGTAAGGTGGAATTAGTAAATGACCAGCCTGGCCAACGTGGCAAAACCCCGTCTCTACTAAAAATACAAAAATTAGCCAGGCCCAGTGGTGCATGCCTGTAATCCCACCTACTTGGGAGGCTGAGCCAGGAGAATTGCTTGAACCCAGGAGACGAAGGCTGCAGTGAGCCAAGATTGCGCCACTGCACTCCAGCCTGGGCAATATAGTGAGACTCTGTCTCAAAATAAATAAATAAAAACACTGCATTCTACTAGTCTCCATCAATTGACTTCATTCATCTCCACCTTCCCCAACTCTTAACTTCCCTATCTTCATCTTGATGGCAACCAACACAATGTAACACAATATGAAATTTTTACTTTTAAAAGTTGACACTAGTAAGAATTTAAAAACTGAACATGCAGCCAGGTGTGGTGGCTCATGCCTGTAATCCCAATGCTTTGGGAGGCCGAGGCGGGTGGATCACCTGAAGTCAGGAGTTCAAGACCAGCCTGACCAAGGTAGTAAAACCCCATCTCTACTAAAATACAAAAAATTAGCCAGGCATGGTGGTGCATGCCTACAGTCCCAGTTACTTGGGGGACTGAGGCAGGGGAATCACTTGAATCCGGGAGGCGGAGGTTGCAGTGAGCCAAGATTGTGCCATTCCACTCCAGCCTGGGCAACAGGACTGAAACTCTGTCTCAAAAAAAAAAAAAAAAACACTGAACATGCATCAAATCAAAACCAGTTCTTCCCTGGCTGGCATGCAGACACACACACACACACACACACACACACACACACACACACACACAGCAGCAGCAAGGCTGAGAGGAAGAAACTCATGTTTCCTTTTTTTGTCTTTGTTGTTGTTGTTGAGGTGGAGTTTTGTTCTTGTTGCCCAGGCTGGAGTGCGGTGGCACGATCTCAGCTCACTGTAAACTCCACCTCCCCAGGTTCAAGCAATTCCCTGCCTCAGCTTCCCAGGTAGCTGAGATTACAGGGGCCCACCACCATGCTCAGCTAATTTTTGTATTTTAGTACAGACCGGGTTTCACCATGTTGGTCAGGCTGGTCTCGAACTCCTGACCTCAGGAGATCCACCGCCTTGGCCTCCCAAAGTGCTGGGATTATCGGCATGAGCCAGCATGCCCGGTCTTGTTTTTCTTTAAGAGACAGGTCGGCCAGGTACGGTGGCACACGCCTGTTATCCCAGTACTTTGGGAGGCTGAGGTGGGCGGATCACAAAGTCAGGAGTTCGAGACAGCCTGGCCAATATGGTGAAACCCTGTCTCTACTAAAAATATAAAAATTAGCTGGGCGTTGTGGCACATGCCTGTAATCCCAGATACTCAGGTGGTTGAGGCAGAAGATTCGCTTGAACCTGGGAGGCGGAGGTTGCAGTGAGCTGAAATCACGCCACTGCACTCCAGCCTGGGCAAGAGAGCGAGACTCTATCTTAAAAACAAAAAAAGAGAGAGAGGGAGACGGGGTCTTGCTATGTTGCCCAGAGTGGTCTTGAACTCTTAGGCTCAAACAATCCTCCTGCCTCAGCCTCCCAAGCAGCTGGGATTACAGACAGGTGTACCATTGTGTGTCTTCTAAATATCAATATCACAGTCTCGTTTTCAGACATCACTTCTATGCAACCACTTTAAAGATCCCATGCGTTAACACAAACTTTTAGAGGCAGGGACAGATGAGACCTATATTTCAAAGGGGAAAAAAATGAGAGTTTAATAATTTGCCTTGAAGTTATTTACTAAATCCATAGGTAGGCTAAAACTGTCCTTACTCCCTGAAGTTCTCTTCTGATTTGTAAAAGGAGAACAGAATAGCCAAAAACATTCAGTAAGACAGTCAAAAACCAAAACCGTAAGGCAAAAATAACAGCATGAAAAAGGATGGGGACCCTGGGAGAGCCCAAAGCAATAACAAATTATTCAAGTCCTTTAAAAAATACGAATTCTGGGCTGGGCGCGGTGGCTCAAGCCTGTAATCCCAGCACTTTGGGAGGCCGAGACGGGCGGATCACAAGGTCAGGAGATCGAGACCATCCTGGCTAACACGGTGAAACCCCCGTCTCTACTAAAAAATACAAAAACCTAGCCGGGCGAGGTGGCAGGCGTCTGTAGTCCCAGCTACTCGGAGGCTGAGGCAGGAGAATGGCGTGAACCCGGGAGGTGGAGCTTGCAGTGAGCTGAGATCCGGCCACTGCACTCCAGTCTGGGCGACAAAGCGAGACTCTGTCTCAACAACAACAAAAAAAATATATGAATTCTGGCTGAGCGTGGTGGCTCATGCCTGCAATCCCAGCACTTTGGGAGGCCGAGGTGGGCGGATCACGAGGTCAGGAGATAGAGACCAGCCTGGCTAACACGGTGAAACCCCGTCCCTACCAAAAATACAAAAAGAAAAATTAGCTGGGTGTGGTGGTAGGCGCCTGTAGTCCCAGCTACTCAGGAGGCTGAGGTAGAAGAATGGCTGTGAACCCGGGAGGCAGAGCTTGTAGTGAGCTGAGATCGCACCACTGCACTCCAGCCTGAGCAACTGAGCAAGACTCTGTCTCAAAAAAAAAAAAAAACAAAAACGAATTCTGGGCCAGGCACAGTGGCTCATACCTGTAATCCCAGCACTTTGGGAGGCCAAGGCAGGAGGATCACTTGAGCCCAGGAATTCTAGACCAGTCTGGACAACAGAGCAAGACTCTGTCTCCAACAACAACAATAAAACACACACACACACACACACACATATATATACACACACACACACACACATATGTTAGGCAGGAGTAGTGGCCACACCTGTGGTCCCAGCTATTGGAGAGACTGAGGTGGGAGGATCACTTTGAGCCCGGGAGGTCAAGGTTTCAAGAAGCCATGATCATGCCACTGCACTGCAGCCTGGACGACAGAGTGAGACCACGTCTCTTAAAAGAAAAAAAAAAAAAAATTCCATCACACACCAGTTCCTTGCCCCAATGTTATCTTTAAGAACTTTCCTTCCTGATCAAAAACTCGACCATACACACTCATGCTGAACACTTTAAGATTTCCATCTTGGCCGGGCGCAGTGGCTCACACCTGTAATGCCAGCACTCTGGGAGGCCAAGGTGGGAAGATCGCTTGAGCCCAGGAGTTCAAGACGACCAGTCTGAGCAACATAGCCAGACCCCACCTTTAAAAAAAAAAATATTCCATCTTCCCTCACTTCACACCACTTCAACATGAACCCTCAACTCCAGACGTTCCAATGCGTTTCTCAACATTCTCAATCCGACCTTTAACTCGATTCTGATTCCTTTTCAACGAATGTTCTCAAGATTCCCTCTGGTGTAAGCAGTTTCCCGAGCCATCTTCCCAAACGCTAGCTTCCACTTAACTCAATCCCCAAAATGTCACACTGGACTCCTCACTCACAGCATCCTGCTAATCAGCTGTTCCCAACAGGTCTTCCGTTCCCGTCTCCCTCTTTGCGCACGATTACCTCGTTCCTCACCCTGAGCTGCCGCCTTACCTCACCCAATCCTTCAGGAGCCCTTATTACCTGTCTCTCAAAAACCTTCCTCCCCATTTTCCCAGTCCGCGCTAGCCCCATACCAATACCCGACCACTCCTCCCCAGATTCCCCACGCCCTCTCTCCTCCAGGTTCTTCCGATTCAGTCCCCAGGCCCCCCGCCCCTCAGGCCCCGCCCCCAAGACCCCTCTCTCCCTCCGGCCCCTCCTCTAATGCCCCCTCTCTTCTCAAGCCCCGCCCCCAGTCCCCCTCCCCCCGGCTTTCCTCCCACTCAGGTCCGCAGGTCATTTCAGCGACTGACCCAGCCGCCCCGGCCTCTTTCCGACCTGGCCACAGCTGCTCTGGGAGCGAATCCTCCGCCGCCTACGCTCCGGCTTCGTCCTGCCCTGCTCGCCCCCCGGCAAGCTCTCTTTCTCGCCGCCGCCGCCGCCCCTTTTGCCAACCCGGAAATGGATCTGCTCCCACCGTCCCCAGCGTCCGCGAACAAAATGGAGGCGGGGGAAAAAGGAGGAGGGAGCAGGGAGCGAAGAGACGCGGGACGCATGCGCCCCTGGGAAGCCCGCCCCCTGCCTGCCCACGTAAAGGCGGAAGCGGTTGAGTGGCCGCCATCTTGGGAAGGTCACAAGAATGCCGCTTACCAGTTAAAACCTGGGTTTGCAACTTTAGCTGCAATTGGAATCACCTGGCAGATTTAAATAACTATGATGCCTGGTTCCCACTCCTGGAAATTCTAATTTAATTCTGGGGTGCAGCCTAGGCATCAGGAAATTGTGGCAGGTGATTGTAACGTGTTGCCAAGGTGGAGAACACTGAGCTAAACAGTCATTGTTGAATATACTCCTTTCGTCTTTAATCCGCCCCACACACACACACTTTCCCCGCTAAATATCCTTCCTTAATCTCGAATTAACGAAGAACCCGCCTCAGCCAACCTTGCAAAGGCCAAGTAGTCATGCTCCAGTTGTCATAGCAACAGAGGCAGGCCTCTGCTCACAAGTCATCATTTACGTCATCTTACCCACCTGACCCGAACACCAGTCTCTTCTTTCTCGGGCTGGGGTTTCCTCCAGCTTCCAGGGCTGTAGGATGGTGCTGTGGACTCCTCCAGCTGCTTGGGCCAGAGAGAGAAATCTTGTGCCCTCCTTGATGGAGCTGCTGTTAACCCCTGACAGCTGACTAAAGATCTCTCCCTAGTCCACCCAGAAAAGCGCTTTCCATTATGGCTTCAAAATACTGTTTGGTTTAATTCCATTCCTAGCACAGAATCCGAAGTAAGGGGACAAGTTTGAGACTTAGTCCACATTACTTACAAGCTGTGTGCCATAGGGCCTCAGCTACCCTATCTGTAAAATGGGTCTAATAGTGCCTGTCCCATCTGTCTCATAGAGTTGTTGGAAGGCCGAAATCAGGTAATGAATGGGGAAACGTGATAGAGCATAAATTGTTACTATTTTTGTTTTCCTTCTATTCTGCCATGAGTAGTACTAAGCACCACCCACTAGTCAAGTAAATGTCACATTGAGTACCTGCTAAACACCAGGAGATGGCTACAGAGGTGACTAAGAGCCTTTGACCTCAGGGAACTCTCTACGTTGGTGGGCAGACTGGCATAAACAGCTAGCTGAGATACAAGTCAGCATGTGATTAGTGCTGTGGACTTCAGACAAGGGAGCAATTAATTCCTGCTAAAGAATGGAAGGAGGTTTCGTAAATAGTTTGGACCTGGGCCTTGAAGGATGAATGGAATTTTATTATTAATCAGAGAAGGCAGGGAACATTGCAGGCATAGGGATCAGGGACACAAGGTAAAGATTTTCAGCTGTCCACATCCTGCATGGCCATAGGTGGAGCAATGGAGCCAGGGAGATGATGCATCTAAACACTTTACCAGAGCCTCCCAGCTCTTCAACCTAGTCCCCTGCCTGTCCCCTCCTCACTCACTGCAGTGTACCCCATTCGGCAGTTCCCACCTCAGGGACTTTGTACAAGCTATCCTCTGCCTCTTCCTCATTTTTCAAGCCTTACTGCAAATGCTTCTTCCTCAGGGCATTCACTGCCCACTGTAAACCCTCATGCTCTATAACACTTACACTGTATGATAAGGGCAGCCACTGGGATAAATATAGGGACATCTCACCCAGACTTGGGGAGATAGTGATATAGGCTTCAGGAAAAAAGTAACTAACTGGCCCAAGTGCAGTGGCTCACGCCTGTAATCCCAGCACTTTAGGAGGCTGAGCGGGGCAGGGGCGGGGGCGGGGATCACTTGAGCCCAGAAGTTCAAGACCAGCCTGGGAAACATGGTGAAACCTTGTTACTACAAAAATTACCCGGATATGGCTGGGCGTGGTGGCTCATGCCTGTAATCCCAGGACTTTGGGAGGCCAAGGCGGGCAGATCATGTGAGGTCGGGAGTTCGAGACTAGCCTGACCAACATGGTGAAACCCCGTCTCTACTAAAAATACAAAATTAGCCAGGTGTGTTGGTGCATGCCTGTAATCCCAGGTACTTAGGAGGCTGAGGCAGGAGAATCACTTGAACCCAGGAGGTGGAGGTTGCGGAGCCAAGATCATGCCATTGCAGTCCAGCCCGAGCAACAAGAGTGAGACTCTGTCTCAAAAAAAAAAAAAAAAAAAAATTAGCTGGGCCCGGTGGCGTGAGCCTGTAGTTCCAGTTACTTGGGAGGCTGCTGTGGCAGGATCACTTAAGCCTGGGAGATGAAGGCTGGGCTGAGCCATGATTGTGCCAATACAGTCCAGGCTGAGCAATAGAGTGAAACCCTGTCTCAAGAAAGAAAACAAAAAGTAACTAAGTGAGGCCATACCCAAATTCTAAGTGAGACTTGAGGGACAGGTAGGAATTGACCAGGGAAGAAGTGAGGGAAAAGCATTGTAGGGAGAAGTTGTGCAAAGCAAGAAGAATCATGGCACATTCCAATAACGCACATTTTTTTTTTTTAAGAGACAGGGTCTTTTAGAGACAGGCTGCAGTGCAGTGGCACAGTAATGGCTCACTACAGTCTTTTTCTTTTTTCTTTTTTTTGAGAATGAGTCTCACTCTGTTGCTCAGGCTGGAGTGCAGTGGTGCGATCTCAGCTCATTGCAACCTCCAGCTCCTGGGTTCACGCCATTCTCCTGCCTCAGCCTCCCGAGTAGCTGGGACTACAGGCACTTGCCACCACGCCTGTCTAATTTTTGGTTTTCGTTGTTGTTGTTGTTGTTGTTGTTGTTGTTGTTTTGAGACAGAGTTTCACTCTTATTGCCCAGGCTGGAGTGCAATGGCGCAATCTCAGCTCACCTCCCAGGTTCAAGCAATTCTCCTGCCTCAGCCTCCCAAGTGGCTGGGATTACAGGTGCTTGCCAACATGCCCAGCTAATTTTTTGTATTTTTAGTAGAGATGGGGTTTCACCATGTTGGCCAGGCTGGTCTCAAACTCCAGACCTCAGGTGATCCACCTGCCTCGGCCTTCCAAAGTGCTGGGATTACAGGTGTGAGCCACTGCGCCCAGCCCTAATTTTTGTATTCTTAATAGAGATGGGGTTTCACCAACTTGGCCAGGCTGGTCTCAAACTCCTCATCTCAGATGATCCACCCACCTTGGCCTCCCAAAGTGCTGGAATTATAGGCATGAGCCACTGCGCCCGGCCTGTAGTCTTGAACTTCTGGGCTTAAGTAATCCTTCTGCCTCAGCCTGCTATTTAGGACTGCAGGCACTGGTGGCCACGCGCAGCTAATTTTTAAATTTTTTTTTCTCTTTTTTTTTTTGAGACAGAGTCTTGCTCTGTCACCCAGGCTGGAGTGCAGTGGCACAATATCAGCTCACTGCAAGCTCTGCTTCCCAGGTTCACACCATTCTCCTGCCTCAGCCTCCTGAGTAACTGGGCCTAGAAACGCCCACCACCATACCCGGCTAATTTTTTGTATTTTTAGTAGAGATGGGGTTTCACCGTGTTAGCCAGGATGGTCTTGATCTCCTGACCTCATGATCCACCCGCCTCGGTCTCCCAAAGTGCTGGAATTACAGGCGTGAGCCACTGCACCCAGCCAATTTTTTTCTTTTCAAAGACACAGCATCTCCCTTTGTCACCCAGGTGGTCTGGAACTCCTGGCCTCAAGTGAGCCTCCTACTTGGGCCTCCCAAAGTGTTAGAATTACAGACGTGTGCTACCTCACCTGGCCCATAAAGCATGTTGATAAGGTTAGAGTTAGAACTTCTGGGGGAGGCAAGAAATTAGGTTACAGAAGTCATCATAGGTTAGGTTTGACATTTAGTAACACTTACCATGTGCCAGGCACTGTCAAAACCTCACATAACTCATTTAATCCTCACAGTAACTTTCTGAGGCAGGTATTTGGAAGCCCATTTGACAGATGAAGAAACAGACACAGCAAGGTTAACCATCTTGCTCAAAGTCACATACCTGTAAGTAGCAAAAGTAGAAGTATCTCCAGGGTCTGTGTTTTTTGTTTGTTTGTTTGTTTATTTGTTTGTTTGAGACAGAGTCTTGCTCTGTTGCCCAGGCTGAATTGCAATGGCACAATCTCGGCTCACTGCAACCTCCGCCTCCCGGGTTCAAGCAATTCTTCTGCCTCAGCCTCCCAAGTAGCTGGGATTGCAGGCACACGCCAGCACACCCGGCTAATTTTTGTATTTTTAGTAGAAATGGGGTTTCATCGTATTTGCCAGGCTGGTCTTGAATTCCTGACTTCAAGCAATCCACCTGCCTCGGCCTCCTAAAGTGCTGGGATTACAGGTGTGAGAGACCGCACTGGTCCTTTTGTTTTTTATTTTTTATTTTTTTGAGACGGAGTTTCACTCTTGTTGCCCAGACTGGAGTGCAATGGCACGATCTCGGCTCACCACAACCTCTGCCTCCTGGGTTCAAACCATTCTCCTGCCTCAGCCTCCCAAGTAGCTGGGATTACAGGCATGCGCCACCATGCCCAGCTAATTTTGTATTTTTAGTAGAGATGGGGTTTCTCCATGTTGGTCAGGCTGGTCTTGAACTCCCGACCTCGGGTGATCCGCCAGCCTCGGCCTCCCAAAGTGCTGGAATTTTAGAGACATGTGCCACTGCGCCCGGCCCTTTTTTTTTTTTTTTTTTTTTGAGACACATCTTGCTCTGTCACCCAGGCTAGAGAGCAGTGGCATGATCTCAGTTCACTGCAAGCTCTGCCTCCTGGGTTCAAGCAATTCTCCTGCCCCAGCCTCCTGAGTACCTGGAATTACAGGGGTGCTCCACCACACCTGGCTAATTTTTGTATTTTTTAGTAAAGACGGGGTTTCACCATGTTGGCCAGCCTGGTCTGGAACTCCTGACCTTATGATCCACCCGCCTCGGACTCCCAAAGTGCTGGGATTACAGGCGTGAGCCACCGCACCCCGCTGAGCTGAGCATGTGTTCTTTTTCTCTTTTTTTCTTTTTTTTGAGACGGATTCTCACTCTGTCACCGAGGCTTGAGTGCAATGGCGCGACCTCGGCTCACTGCAACCTCCACCT